GTCTTTAATCCATTTTGACTTTATTTTTGTATATGGTATAAGAAAGTGGTCTACTTTCATTCCTTTGCTTATGTTTGTCCAGTTTTCTCAATACTGTTTATCAAAGAGACTGTCTTTTCCCCATTGTATAATCTTGCTTCCTTTGTCATAGATTAATTGACTATATACATGTGGGTTTATTTCTGGGCTCTCTGTTTTATTCCATTGATCTATGTGTGTATTTTTGTGCTAGTACCACACTGTTCTGATCACCAATGAATTGTAGTATAGTTTGAAATCTGGGAATGTGATACCTTCAACTTTGTTCTCCTTTCTCAAGATTGCTTTGGCTCTTCAGGGTCCTCCAACGTTCCATATGAATTTAGGATTATTCTAGTTCTGTAAAAAACATTGTTAGCATTTTTAAAAAGATTTTATTTATTTATTTGACAGACACAGCGAGAAAGGGAACACAAACAGGGAGAGTGGGAGAGGGAGAAGCAGGCTCCACTGAGCAGGGAGCCCAACGCGGGGCTCAATCCCAGGACCCTGGGATCATCACCTGAGCTGAAGGCAGATGCCTAACGACTTAGCCACCCAGGAGCCCCTGTTGTTAGTATTTTGATAGAGATTTCATTGAACCTCTAGCTTGCTTTGGGCAGTATGGACATTTTATTTTATTTTTTTTAAAGGTTTTATTTATTTATTTGACAGAGAAAGACACAGTGAGAGAGGGAACACAAGCAGGAGGAGTGGGAGAGGGAGAAGCTGACCTCCTGCCGAGCAGGGAGCCCAATGTGGGGCTCCATCCCAGGACCCTGGGATCATTACCTGAGCCGAAGGCAGACACCCAACGACTGAGCCACCCAGGAGCCCCAGTATGGACATTTTAATGATATTAATTCTTCCAATCCATGAGCAGGGTATATCTTTCAATTTGTTTATGTTACCTTTAATTTCTTTCATCAGTATCTTGTAGTTTTCAGAGTATAGGTCTTCCATCTCCTAGGTAAAATTTATTCCTAGGTATTTTATTATTTTTGGTGCAATTGTAAATGGGATCGTTTTCTTAATTTCTCTTTCTGCTAGTTTATTAGTATATAAAAACAACATATTTCTGTATATTTTATATCCTGCAAATTTACTGAATTCATTTATTCTAAGTTTTTTGGTGGAGTCTTTAGGGTTTTCTATATATAGTATTATGTCATCTGCAAATAGTTTTATTTCTTCCTTACTAATTTGGTTGCCTTTTATTTTTGTTTCTTGTCTGATTGCTGTGGCTAGGACTTCTAGTACTGTGTTGAATAAAAGTGGCAAGAGTAAACACACTTGTCTTATTACTGATCTTAAAGAAAAGCTTTCACCTTTTCACCACTGAGTATATTAGCTGTGGGTTTGTGACAGATAGCCATTATTATATTGAGTTTTGTTCCCTCTATATCACTTTGTTGAGAGTTTTTATCATAAATGGATGTTGAATTTGCCAAATGATTTTTCTGCATTTAATGAGATGACCATATGGTTTTTATTCTCCATTTTGTTAATGTGGTATATCACACTGATTTGTGGATATTAACCCATCCTTGCATCCCTGGAATAAATTGCACTTGATTGTGGTGAATGATCCTTTAAATGTATTATTGAATTCAGTTTGCTAATATTTTGTTGAGGATTTTTGCATCTGTGTTCATTAGGGATATTGGCTTCTAATTTTCTTTTCTTTTCTTTTCTTTTCTTTTCTTTTCTTTTCTTTTCCTCCCTTCCCTTCCCTTCCCTTCCCTTCCCTTCCCGTCTTTTGTGGTGTCTTTGGTTTTGCTATCAGGGTAGTGCTGTCCTTATAGAATGAATTTGAAACAATTCTTCCTTTTCTGTTTTTTGGAATAGTTTGAGAATAGATATTAAGTCTTCTTTAAATGTTTGGTAGAATTTACATTTGTAGCAGTCTGGTCCTGACTTCTGTTGGTTTTGAGAGTTTTTTGTTTATTGATTCAATTTAATTACTAGTAATTCATCTGTTTAGATTTTCTATTTCTTCCTGATTCATTCTGGGAAGATTGTATGTTTCTAGGAATTTATCCATTTCTTCTAGGTTGTTGAATTTGTTGGTAAATAAATTGCTGTATCCCCTTTATCATTATGTAATGCTGTTCTTTGTCTCTTGTTATGTTTGTTGTTCTAAAGTCTATTTTGTGTGATATAATTATTGCTACCCCAGGTTTTTTATTTCCATTTGCATGGAATATGGTTTTCTATCCCTTCACTCATTTTGCATATGTCTTTATATTTGAAGTGAGTCTCTTGTAGGCAGCATATAGGAGTCTTATTTATTTTTATCCATTTAATCACCTATGTCTTTTGACCTTTAGTCCATTTACATTTAAATTAATTATTGATAGGTTTATACTTATTGCAATTTTGTTGATTGTTTCTGGTTCTTTTTTTTTTATATTTTATTTATTTATTTGTCAGAGAGAATGAGAGAGTGAGAGAGGCAGGCAGAGGGAGAAGCAGATTCCCTGCTGAGCAAGGAGCCCGATATGGGACTCAATCCCAGGACCCTGGGATCATGACCCGAGCCAAAGGCAGACGCTTAACCAACTGAGCCACCCAGGCATCCCGGTTCTTTGTTTTTTTGAGATTTTATTTTTATTTCCATACTTAACATGAGGCTTGAACTTACAACCCCAAGATCAAGAGTTGCATGCTTACTGACTGAGCCAGCTGCGCACCCCTCTGGTTCTTTTTATATTCTTCTCTTTCCCTTTCTTCTCTGGCGATTTGATGATTTTTTTTAGTATTATGCTTGGATTCCTTTCTCTTTATGATTTCTTGTGTATTTGTTATAGGTTTTTGGTTTGTGGTTATCATGAGGTTTATCTGTAACACCCTATGTATTTAACAGTCTATTTATTTATTTATTTAAGAGAGAGTGTGCATGTGCATCTGTGCAGGGGAGGGGCAGAGGGAGAGGGAGAGAGAGAATCTTAAGCAGGCTTCATGCCCAGCACAGAGCCTGACACGGGGCTCGATCTCATGACCCTGAGATCATGACCTGTGGTTACCATGAGGTTTATATATAACACCCTTTGTATTTAACCATCTGATTTATTTATTTATTTGAGAGAGAGCACGTGCCATGCATGAGAGCAGGGGCAGGGCAGGAGTCACTCTGGAGGAGTGTCTGTCCTAGCTGAGGCTACCTGCTGTGTATGACAGGACACTAGAGGCTTTGGAAGACACAGTTGCCAGGGTGGGCAGGTTGGGCAGGATGGGTCTGCAAGGGGATGCTGGGATGGGTCCATAGGTGCAAACAAGGTAAATGGAGTGTCAGAACTGGCATCCACCAGCGTTAGGCCATCTAGGCTGAAGGAAGGGAAAAAAAAAAAATAGTGCTTACCAGCACTTTTTTTCCTGGAGAAATTTCCTATAGATCCCTGTTCCTCCATCACACACCCTAAAATTTGTCAGTAAATCTCCTTCACTCCAGCCCAGGTGCTTTTCAAACTGCTGCCTTTGTGTTGGGTCTCAGAGTGAGGGATACTATGTGGCAGCCCTTTAAGAACAGAATCTCAGTTCCTATAACCCTCTGGCTCTCCTGGAGTAAGCCCTGCTGATTTTCAAAGCCAGATGTTATGGGAGCTCATCTTCCCAGTGCAGATCCCCAGGCAAGGGTTGCCCAGTGTGGGGCTTGAACCCCTTGCTCTTCAGTGTGGAACCACACCTGTGATATCCCTCCTGCTTGTGGGTCTCTGCATCAGGGGTTTAGTTCTTTTTTTTAAAGATTTATTTATTTATTTGAGAGAGCGAGAATGAGAGAGAGAGAGTGCATGAGAGGGGGGAAGGTCAGAGGGAGAAGCAAACTCCCTGCTGAGCAGGGAGCCTGATGTGGGACTCAATCCCAGAACTTAGTTTATTGTATCTTATTTATTGTTTTTGTTTGTCGCCCCTAGAGACTTCTGTTTTTTTCCTGGAAGCCCAATAATGCTTCAGAAAGTATGCTCTGTCATGGATCTAGTTGTATTGTAATAAGAAGACCCTTCAGAGTATTTTGTCCTCCTATTTCCAGGAGGGAAGTCTTAAAGAATTGATACTTCCTAGTGTATGAACTACATACCGAACTGATAAACTCTCTGTAATTCTAGGCGTTTAAGCAAGGGCTGGATAATTCTTTCTGTTATGGGTGAGAGATTAAACTAAATGACCAGGGACACCTGGGTGGCTCAGATGGTTAAGCGTCTGCCTTTGGCTCAGGTCATGATACCAGAGTCCTGGGATCCAGCCCCATGTCAGGCTCTCTCCTCAGTGGGGAGCATGCTTCTCCCTCTCCCTCTGCCTGCAGCTCCCCCTGCTTGCACTCTCTCTCTAACAAATAAATAAATAAAATCTTAAAAAAAAACAAAACTAATCGACCATTCCAACTCAAAGATATTATAATTCATTGGTCTCAGGCTTAGGATATAACACCAGGATCAATTTTAATACAAATAAAGGCTGCTCAGTATGGTATTCATAATTTATCATTTGTGATCATTTCCAAATATTTGGTTTTATTCAGACTGAAAGAAATGACTTCTTTGAATTGAGGGTCTTTATTCATTTTTGAACAGTTGGTGTCTTTTTGGGTTTAAACAACTTGAGAAAAGTGGATTTATTCATGAATTCAACTGTTTATAAAAAATCTCATTCTATATAAATACGTAAGACATGGTTTCTATCCTCATAGAATTTATAATTTAGAAGAAGAAATAAAAGAAGTTCCTCATTTTGTTTTACATCTCAAACATTACATTCGGAATGATTATGACTCTGGTTAAAATCCTCCACAGTTTATTTGTTTGTGTGAGCATGGCAGGAATATACATATTAGATCCCTTTCTTTTCCTATCTTGTTCTTCTTGCATATCTTTTATGAGCATCTACTATTTCTTTCCCTAACATTACTTTTTCTTTCATATATTTTCTCGCTCTTTTTTCCTTTTCTTTTTTTGCATGATAACCTTGTTTTCTTTCTCATGCAGACAGCGGTATGTACAAATGCTTGACCAAATTGCCCGGCAGATGATTGATTTCTACAAAGACTTGGTAACTCAGCGAATGATGGACCAGCGCGTTTTAGAAGAACTGTACAATTTTAAGAATGTTATTGAAGAACTGACCAGGTAAAATCTGTGATTATCTTAAACACAAAACACAAGTCAAAACTGTGACTCTAAAGAGAATAAAAAACAGGAAAAGTAGAATGGTTAAAAGTGAGGACTCTTTTTCTTTTTGGGGGTTTAGGAAGAGACAGAAAGGACTGGGTTACACAGGTTAACACAAAACTAGGGCTCTGTGTATGTTTGATAGGGAAGCGATTGCTGTTCCCCTTCTAGGACTGAGATGTTGATCTTAGTCATGTTTACAGAGTAGTGGCATGATTACGGATGTTAAGGTTTAAATCCCAAAGAGGGTAAGTGTTACATAGCAGTCAAGGTTAGTGATCCTCTAATCTGTGCCAAGATGATTCGTGGCAAGAATGAATAGGGTAAGGTAGGCATGTCAGAGGGTAGGACAGAGCAGCCTGGTGGCCTTGCCTGTTAGCATCTGCCTTCTCTTTATTTGAGAGGATCTCTCACATCATCTTTCTGCCCTTTCTAGCCAACCAGATTCCATTGCCAAGCCTGATGGAATTCCATCCAAATGGACACTAGATTTCTTGATTTGGCTTATAAGGTATAAAAGCTAGGAAGAGATTTACACATAACTGAGAAGATTCCTGAGTATAAATTGGATTTTCTGGATAGAAACTTTCTGGAACTCTTGAACTATGAATATAAAATTTCTTTGCTTTATTTCAGGGAGCTGTGTCTGGTTCGGGCTCATGATATGAAATTAACAAAGGAAGCAGAGAAAGCCCACAAGGATTTGGCACAAGCTCTTTTAGATGCTGAAAAGAATGCTAGGTGAGTTACCAGATGTTAGCCATTATGTCATACATGCTTCACACCTTATTTGAAGAAACAAAATTTTATAGAAACATTTGAAGTTTTTTATTACAACAGTGCCCGTAGGAGTTAATATAGATACAAGAAACTTTTAATAAACATATTTATTAACTCCTCCTGGCACTGTTTAATACACATCTCATTAATGTCTTCTTGTGTGAATTTTCCAGGGGTGTATCCCTAGAAGTGGAGTTACTGGGTCATAGGCTATGCATGGCCTTGTCTTCCCAGGATGTTGCCAAATGCTCTATAAAGTAGTCGTACCAGTATATCCTCTCATCAGTGTATGAGATTTCCCTTTTGTCCATATCTTTTATCAGTCTGATGGGTATGAAAAGGTATCTGGTTTTTGTTTGTGTTTTCCTAATTAGTAGTGTGAGTCTAGTTCTTTTTTAGATTTTAATAAATCTACTACAGTCCTAATGTTTTTATCCTATTTTAGGGGTTAGCAAACTTTTCCTGTAAAGGGTCAGGTGGTAAGATATGGTTTCTGATGCAACTATCAATCAACTCTGCCTTCGTAATGTGTGCTACTATAGTGTAAAAGCAGGCAAGGGCAATACCAGAACATGGCTGTGTTCCAATAAAACTTTATTTATTGACACTGAAATTTGAAGGTATAAAAATTTTCATGTGTCACAAAATATTGTTATCCTATTGCTTTTTTAACCATTAAAAATATAAAAAGTAAAATATGTAAAAAACTAAAAATCTAAAATTCTTAGCTTGTGTTCTATACAAAACACAAGTGGTGGGTTGTAAACCTACAGGCTGTAATTTGTTGACCTTTATCCTGTTTCATTTTCGGTTAGAGTTCTGATTACTAGGAAGCTCTTGGGTATATATCAAATGATATATCTGATTGTATTTTTAATTTTTCTTATTTAATTGATTAAAAATAATATACTATCATAGAAGCATTATTTGTGCCTTGTAAGTAGAAAATACAAACAAGCAAAAATGAATTAAAAATATCCGTTTCACCACCCATAGATGACTGCTATACATGCCTTAGTGTATATCCTTTTTTCCTATGTATATATGCACACATGCATTGTTTTAAATTGTACTGTATACACTGTTATACAGCCTGGTTTTTTTTTTTCAGTCAATAGTCTCTACCTATTTCAGTAAAGTTTCACTTCACAAATTACCCAGGTCATATTCAGATTTTCCCAATTATTCCCAAAATGTATTTTACATTGGGTTGTCCAAACCAGTATCCAATCTAGGGCCACATAGTGTACCTTGTTTTATGATCCTTTTAATTCAGCATAGTCTTCTGCTTTTTTAAAAAAATGTGTTGAAGAGTAACTGTATTTTTTTAAAATGTCAAGAAAAACACAAATGTATACAAAATCTAAATTCAGAGATACATTCTTACTTTTATTCGAATGAGAAGGGTACCTTGATCATTTTTTGTGCACTGAATATACTGCTGTTTTCTGTAGATGATTCACCCTTCTTGTCTTAGCAGAAAACTATTCTATACTTTGTCTTCTATCCTCATTCCTCTAATAGTATCTCTCCATCCTTTTTCTGAGCTGATGAGCTTGCTTTCTAAAAAGTAGAAGCAAACGGAAGAGAACTCCAGCTCTCACCCCTAAATCTACCCACCCGCCTGCATCTGTGCTCATCTGATACTCATTCCTGTCTTTTACTGTGGACCAATTGTCTCTTTCTTTCTAAGGCCAATCTTTCCATTTGTATACTATTCCATCACCTCATACCTACTCAAGATATTTTCAGCAAATATTCCCTCTTTCTCCCATATCATTAATTTTTCCCTCTTTTCCTGATTAGTCCCATTAGTATACAAGTATGTTGTAAGTACTCCCATCTCAAAAACAACAGCCGAAAAACAAAAGACTCCTAAGTCTCCTAGGACCGCATGCGTATCCCCTTCTACCTATGGCCCCATTTCCTCCCCACCCCTGCTGCTTATAGTAATCTTCAAAAAGTTGTCATATTCAGTGTGTCTACTCCTGGTCCTCTCTTTGTCACTTGAACCCGCTCCAATCAGGCTTTCAGTCCCCCCACCCCACCAAAGTGCACTTGTCAAAGTCACCAGTGACTTTCATGTTGCTAAATCTAAAGGTTGCTTCTCAATTCTCCTTTAACTTGACTTACCGGCAGCATTTATCAGAACTCATCACTTGCTCTTGCATGAAGCAATGTCTTTCAGTATATCACACTCTCCTAGTTTCCTCCTCCTTTACTATCTGCTCTTTCTTACTGATATCTCTTGCAGATTCCTTTTCATTTCACCAATTTCTAAATGGTAGAGTGTGCATTCCATGGATCTTTTCTGTATATATATTCACTGACTAAATCACTTGTTTCCTGGCTTTCAATGTCATCAACCTGTATACTCTCAGCTCACAAATATGTATCTACGCCCTTCTCCACAAATTTGTACTCCCAGTTTCAATCTTCTCTTTGAATTCCAGACTTACATATTCCACGGCCTCAACACTTCTACTTAGCTGCCTAACATTCCCAAACTGAATTCCTGTTCTTTTCCCCAAAACTACTCCTCCCACACTCATCTTATTTCAGTTAACGGCAACTCCATCCTTCCAGTTTCTGGGGCCAAAACTCTTGGAGTCCTTTTTTTTTTCAATTTTTTATTATGTTAATTCTTAATCCCTTTCTTTTTCTCACATCTCACCTTTCTCCGTGGCAGAGTCAGTCACCTTTCACTACATATGCCGAGTGCTCCCCACTTCCGTCCTGCCATCTGCGTCTCTTGGCTGCGGTGTTGCGGTAACCTCGGAATCACCTTTTTACTTCTGTGTGTACACCGCGGTAGGCTGTTCTCCACACACCAGCCAAGATTGTTGTCGAAAACCGACCTCTGGGCTCCGGAGCCAAAATACGACATGAAGACCGAGTTTGGGGATAAAGAGGAACAATAGTTTTATTATTTTGCCAGGCAAAGGAGGCCGGAGCAGGCTAATGCCTTCAAAACTGCAGACCTGCCCTGGGTAAAAGGCTGAGAGGTTTTATAGGAAAATGCAGGTTCTGGGCGGTTTCACTAGGAATCCAGTATGTGCTGCCAGCCACGTTCCTCATGTCTTCAAGGTGGTCTTGTGACTGGTGCTTGTGCCGGCCATGAGTCTGGTTACTAGGTATCAACATCCATACCAAGTTCCTGGAACAGAGGATCCCACAGAAGCACAAGTGAATGGGGGAGGGGGCTTCAAGAATGAGGAAGAGAAAAATTTGTTCAACTTAAGAGTCAAACCTTGCTGAAACATTGTATGTCCATCTTAATTTCCATCTGTCTTTACAGTTCTATGTGGTTTCAGTATGATCTATTAAAATTTGACTCCAGTAATGTCATTTCTCTGCTCAAAATTCTGTAGTAGCTCCCCATCTCAGAATAAAGGGCTGTGTTTTTTAAAAAATGGTTTGCAAGACTCATCCTACCAGGATTTCTCTGACTTCTACTTTCTTCAGACTTGCGGCCTTTGTGCTGTTCCTTGAACATACCAGATAGGCTCCCACTTGGGGCCTGGAATCCTCTTCCCCTTCCCCGCCCCCAGAGAGCTGCTAGCCTCCTCCCTCCTTCCTTTGGACCTTTGCTCATCCCCCTTCATTTAAAACACAATACATTTTTGTGCTCTCAATCCCCTCTCCCTGATGATTTTTATCTATTGCACTATCACTACTTAGTATGTTTTACTTTTTTATTTGTTAATTATCTCTTAACTAAACTTTATAAGGGCAAAGTTTTGTTTTGTTTTGTTTTGAATAGTACCTGGCATATTGTAGGCACTAAACAGATATTTGTTGAATGAATTAATTAAAAATAAGTTAGAACTTCTTTTGTGCTAATGTCCATTATAAGAACATCTAAAGCCAGAGAGAAAGGGAAGGAAATGGAGAAAGTCTGAAGTAGGACGGGTTTTGTGTGTGTGTGTGTGTGTGTGTGTGTGTGTGTGTGTGTGTGTGTGTGATTAGAAATTTTTATTAATACTTTTTAAAATAATAACTGATTATTTTATTGAAAATTAGGAAAATAGAAACAAGTTAGGAAAAAAGAGCACCCATAATTCTTTCTCTCAGAGGTAAACACTATTAATATTTTCATATATTTTTCTTTTATTGACTTCTATGTATTTTTTATATAAATGAGATCAAACTGAATATATAATTTTATCATTTGGGTTATCTCATGTTACAAACATGAAAAACTTTCCCATGTACCAAAATATTAACAACAACAAAATCTTTAATTAGTTGCAGAGCATTTTCATCATAGAGCTATATCATATATTTTATGTGACCAATCCCTTATTATGGGGCATGAGGTTATTTCTGAATTTTTTTCTTTTGCTATTATAAACAAGGATCATTAATTCTCTTTTTAAAATCACTGTCTGGGGTGCCTGGGTGGCTCAATCAGTTAAGTGTCCAACTCTTGATCTCAGCTTAGGTATTGATCTTGGGGTTGTGAGTTCAGGTCCTGCATTGGGCGCTATGATAGGTGTGGAGCCTACCTGAAAAAAAAAATAAGCATCTAACTTTCAGGTAGTAATGTGCACAAATTGTAAGGGTATATAACTTGTTGAATTTTCATATGTGTACTCACCTATGTGACACCTCGGGTGATTAATTTTTATTAGTTACTCTGGACAAGTGGAAGTCTCCAAAAAGAAGGCTTTCGAGAACTGACACTGGTGGCTCTTGGCTTTCACCAAAATTAGAAGAATTCTATGTCACAGGCCTTTAATTCTTTTAAAAAATATATATATATGTGTATATATATTTATTTATTTAAATACAATTATTTAACGTATAGTATATTATTAGTTTCAGAGATAGAGTTCAGTGATTCATCAGTTGTATATAACAGCCAGTGCTCATTACATCACACGACCTCCTTAATGTCCATCACCCAGTTACCCCATCCCCACAAACACTCCCCTCCTGCAACCCTCAGTGATTTAGATGTCTCTAAAGGTTTGTCTCCCTCTCTGGTTTCATCTTGTTTTATTTTTCCCTTCCTCTATGCTCCTATGTTTTGTTTCTCAAATTCCACATATGAGTGAAATCACAGGATAATTGTCTTTCTCTGATTGACTTATTTCGCTTAGCATAATACCCTCTAGTTCCATCTATGTTGTTGCATATGGCAAGATTTCATTTTTTGATGGCTGCATAATATTCCATTGTATATATACATATATACCACATCTTTTTTATCCACTCATCTGTCAGTGGACATCTGGGCTCTTTCCATAGTTTGGCTATTGTGGACATTGCTGCTATAAACATTGGAATGCAGGTGCCCCTTCGGATCACTACATTTGTATCTTCGGGGTAAATACCCAGTAGTACAATTGCTGGGTCATAGGGTAGCTCTATTTTCAACTTTTTGAGGAACCTCCATACTGTTTTCCAGAGTGGCTGCACCAGCTTGCATTC